CCGCGCACCCGCAAAACTTTCAGAGTTCCGCCGCCGACGGCCCCTGCGCCCAACAGTCCGCGCGCTCGGCTCGCTCGCCCCGGACCCCTGCGGAAAAGGGGGGGAGGGGGGTGGGGGGGTTCCGACCCCCCCCCCCCCCCCCGCCTTTCAAATGGGGGGAGGGGGGATGGGTTCGAACCTCCCCTCCCCTTGAAGGGGGGGATGGGGGGGGGGGGGGTTCTCGCCCCCCCCCCCCCCCCCCCCGAAGGGGGGAAGGGGGGGGGGGGTCCCTGGAGCACCCCCCCCCTTTTAAAGGCCAAGGTGATCCACTGGCGCTCTTTCGTCACGAGGCCCCGAGGGGTGCAGTCCAAGGAAAGGCCTTGCCTTAGTGGGCCCTGGAAACGACAAGGCCGTTGTTTACCGCTTCCGTTTTGCCGTTTTTTTGGCGGGTCCGACGCCGTTTTTTTACTGGTTCCGTCCCCGTTTTTTCACCGGTTCCGGCCTCGGTTCCAATTATGGAGCCGTTTCTTTGCCGTTCCCGGTCGCCGTTTTTTTGCCGTTTCCATGCTCAAGAAGCATTTTTTTGTTGGGAAACGGTGAAAAAAACGGCCCCGCCGTTTCCGGGGCCCACAAAAGGGCCTGGCCAAGGCGGCGGCTCCTCCAAGCGCTCCTCCATGAGACCCAGGAGCCGCGGGGCCCCAGAAACTCATCCAAAGGCGGCGGAGGGCCCAGGCCGGGGCCTGGCCGAGGTCCCCCCATACAACGCTGGTGGCATTCCTGCACAAGCACCACGCGAGACTCCCAAGAGCGCAGAAAGGTTTTGTCCAGAGCCCCAACCCGAGACACTGGCGGTCGCGATGGCAAGGGCGATCTGGTTCAGGCCTTCCGAGAGCCCTCAAAGGTTCTGAAGACACCAGGATGGCTCCTACGGGGGTACCAGGGCTTGTGGCGGGGGCGTCGAGGCTGCTGGAAGACATGATGGCCTGCACGCGTTCCCTGACAGACCGTAGGGCCCTCCGAAATCCTGCAGGGGCCTTGCTAAGAGCCCCCCCCCGCGTCCCTACCTGAAAGACCAGCAGAACGGCTGCGGACCCCCTGGGCCCCTCAATTGCCGCCTCCAGCGGCCGTGGCGGCCCTCTCTCTCGCGCCGAGGGACTGTCCGCTGCTGCAGCGGGTGCCGACACAACCTGACGGGCGGGCGGCACCTGCAGCGACGTCTTGGGCAGATTCGGGGGGGGGCTCCAGACGGGCTGCTCTCGCCACCCCCGCCCGCCCCTGCACCGCCCACATTGCGCGCCCATTTCGTCTGCGGCCTCTGTCGCGAGGCCTTGAACTCCTCCGTGGTATGTTGTTCGCCTGCTCCACGGCCTGCTTGAATAGGGACACGGTGGCCTGCTCGAGGCCGTGCCTGACCTGGATGGAAACAGACAAGACTGAGCGAACAAGCCTAAGTACGGGCTTCTCGCCAGCAGTCTTCTCAGTGACCTGGGAGTGCAACTGCTTAACCGACTCCTGTGCATATGCTCGGCGTGCTGGCATCCAGACTGGAGACGACCGACGAGCGCACACTGTCCATCCAAAAAGGATCGCATGTAACCACACCGAACGGCTGCGTTTCCCCAATCTGTCCTCCGTGGGACGTGACACATTGAAAGCTGTCGTGATTTGGTGCTGGGCCGGTTGCTCACGGCTGGCACGGCGCCTTGCCTGCAAGGCCTTTTGTAACCACCGGCCGACGCGACGTCGCCAGTGGGGGTAAGCATGACGATAAGGAACTCAAGCTCAGGCTCGGCGAGGTCCTTGGTGTGCACTTGGGCGGACACACCTGGATGCCGAAGACCAGGGTGTACAGGACTACTCTAACCAACAGCACCACCGCCCTGAAGTTGCTGTGGAAGTTGCCAGACCCCAGCGGGGGACAGACGCCTTGTCCTGGAACGGAGCGCGGGGCACCGCAGTGACGGCAGGTTGTTGGTGTTGCGAAGTTCTTTCTGCAAGGGCACTGCGTGTAAGGCTGCTTTCCACCTCGAGGGTAGAACTGTGGACCACATCCTCCGCTGCCTCCTTGACCGAAACCTCCGAACAACTGTCCAGGTGGAAAAGGGACGCGAGCGCACGGGTTTTGCACGACGCACCCGCCACCTCCTGCAGAGCAGCCTGGGCGCGCCCACTGTCGGCGAGGCGCTCCCCAGCCATGGCCGATCGGGCTGGCTCGGAAATGGATGCGACAAGTGCCACAAGCGCCCACCCTTTTAGGAAGCCCACAAAGGACGTACGCGCCCAGCTATGTACATGAACACTGCCCCTCGATCCGCGAGACTGGCCACGTGATACGAACATTTGCGCAATGCACACTCTCGAGAACAGCGTGGACTCATGTACATGTACGTCCTTCTTTCGCTCCTGACCTTTCGGGGCTGGAATGCCCGCCAGGAGCTCACGGGAGAAAGAGACACCTTGCCTGACCAGGCAGCCGAGGGACACTGTGGGGGCCGCTTCTCCCCCCTGCCAGTGAGGTCAGGTCCCGAGCAAAAATAGCTGCGCACTTGAGCCAGAATGGCCACGGACGGGGAGGGGGAGATGCGAAAAAGAGCGCGGATGAGAGGGAGGAACGCCCGAGAGCCCGAACACGGCGAGCGGCATCATGCTCCGCTTCTCTAAGACCGCTGCCTTGGGTCGGGGACGCAGATACGGGTCGGGGTCAATCAGGCCTTGCAGGATCCTGCACCCTAACCCTGGTGATTGCATCCCTGGTCCTGCAGGCTCCTGCAAGATCCGACGCTCTGGCTGAACCCCGTTTGCATTGACCCACGTCTCAAGGCTCCTGACTGGGTCGACTTCTGGCAGTCCTGGGCCCGACGAGAACCGGCATGAAACTGTGCCGCCGAGCAAACAAGGCGGCCCCAGAGACTCCGACCGCCTCCCCAGGGGCAGCTCTTCGCTCAACCATCTTTGACGGCCCCCAGGGAAAAATGCCTGGATCGGATCGGAGACATCATATCGTCGGAGATCTGGTCTCTAGAAGACATCATGTACCGACACAGCTGTCCCGAAGCCTCTCTCGAGGTGCGGTATGACCCAAAATTTCGAGGCGAATACAGCCGTGGCGGCGACGGCCTCCCAAAATGGTCCTGGCAGTTGGGGCCCAACCCGGGGGGGGCACCCCTCCCTGCAAGAGAGTTTCGGCTCCGGAGCGTAAGCGTCGTCGTCGTCATCGAAGTCGTCGTTGTCGTCGGCGTCGTCCCCCGTGCAGGGTCGGCGGCACCAGCCGCAAGGCCTTCGCAACACAGCAGTGGCGACGAGGGCGTCCCAGGAAGCCCGAGAAGGCAAAAACGAGGCAAGGGCAGCGGCATCGGTGGTATTGAGGAATGAAAAAACCGCCCCTACCCTGGGTTACAAGTGCGTGGTCAGGAAACCTCCTGGGAACTCCCACATGCCAGAGAGCCGCCAGGACGCCGAGCGGCACGCGCGATACGCAGGGTTTACCCTGTGAGCCAATAGGAGGTTCAGCGCACAGCGCCTCATAAACCAGGGTAGGGGCGTTTTTGTTCGGCTACGCGCAAGAGTGACCCTGGGTAAGAGTGACCTTTGGTGCGCGGCTTTTGGTGGCCCGCGGGGGGGCCAAAAGCAAGCGCGCAAGACGCCTCCGCCGCCTCGCGTTCGGCGATCGGGGCACCCCAGTGGGCCCGCACCAAAGGTCACTCCGGCGAAAGGTCACTCTTACGTCTAGTCGAGTCTTACGCCCTTGAGGTATGGGAACGTGCTGTCGAGCAGGTCCCACGGACGGCAGCCCCACCGAGAGTCTCAGGAAGGCCGGTTGAGACGAAACGGCGGCTCGCCCGCCCGGACCCAGATCCACTCGAGCGTGCTTCCTGGAACCCGCCCCAAGGTCCATGCTGACCCGCCTGTCTCGGGTCGGGCGAAAGGGGGGGGATAGCAAAGGGGGGGGGGGGGGGAATCAGCTCACGCAGCTGATTTTCCCGGCGCCTTCCGGAGCCGGAGGCGCTTATGTATCGAGGAGTGGGCCCAGCGGCCGGGCCCGATTGTCGAGGCAGATACAGCCGTAGCGGCGAGAAGCCTCCAGAAGGCCCCCCACCCAACAGAAAACGCATGGGAAGGCCGCCGTTGTCTCTACTGGCCCTCCTCCGAGAATGGCAATTTTTCGCTCGACTCCTGCAAGTTTACTTGCATGGACGGGGGGGAGGGGGGGCGTGGCAAGGCTCGAAAAGAAGAATTCTGCCTTCGCGCAAGCCGGGGCACACTCGCACGCCTGCTTGGCCAAGCGCTGTTCGAAGAAGGCGGCGGAAGGGAGGTGGCGGGTACGATGCAAGTAGTAGCCTTGCAATAATCTGAATAACACGCGCTTTGCCTCTCCTCCGAGAGGTAAGAAGGGATATGCTGCTGACCCCTACACATGCCTTCGTGGGGTTCTCAAATGGGCCGAACATCGGAGGTCCAACTCGGGGATATCCAATAGAGGGGCATTCGTCCTCGATCGGGGCGCCCCCGGATAGCTCCCATGTGGTGCCTCCCCGGGTTTGCCTCATTTTCTGAGCAGCTTAATTTTTCCTCGAGAAGTCGGAAGTTGGGGGTGAGAGAAGTTGCGGGCGGAGCGAATCGATCCAACACAAGTGCGCACCGCTGCGGCGGCCGTCGCGGGCCTCTCTCGCGGTGTGGCTGCTGTAGCAACTCATGGGGGCCCTGTTTGTCCACGGGGGAGACGTAAGACTCGGGTTCGGGGGACTCGGGTTCGAACACGATTTCTGGCGTACTCGATTCCTACGTCTCCCCGATGCTTCAGAGAGCACTAGCGTGAGCCAGCCCGTGGCAATGGAACAGAACTCGCCGATGGAGTCGACTGGCGCCATCTCTTCGCATCGGCCTGACGTCGCTTTGGCGTCGATGCCGCATCGACTTGCCGACGATCAGCGCCGCATCGCACCGAGCTGGGCCCCACCGCGAGGGGCCCCGCCACGGCCCGCGACGGCCGCCGCGGAAGCGCGCGCGCGGGCGGGGCGCGCCTCCGCGGAGGCCTCGGCCGCGCCGCCCGCGCTCAGCGGCCTGCAGGCCGTGAGCGCCGCCGGCCAGCGCCCGTCGCCGGCGGCGCCGCCGTCGCCGTCGCCGTCGCCGTCGCCGTCGGCCGCCAGCGTCGTGGCCGTCGGCCTTCGGCGGCGCCGCCGTCGGCGGCGGCGTCGATGGTCGGCGTCGCCGTGGGCGTCGGCCAGCTTCCGCCGCCCCCTCGAGCAAGGCGATGCTCGCCAGAAGGTGTGCCGGCGCCAGCGTGCGCTGGTCCATCCCTCCGCCGAGGCCCCGCGATGTGACACCAGCGGTGTAATGATGGCCTGCGCAGGCTGCGTGCCATCGGCGGGGCTGGGGAAGATCAAAACACATTTGGCTTAATACACGTCCTGAGGACCATCGAGCATGGACCCAGCGTCCCGGAATTCCTGTAGGGCTACCGCGACATTCTCTCAAAGCAGAAGGGCATGTGAAGAGCGGACTCCTGCTGCGCAGTGCCCTAGTAACATGAAAGTAGCGGGCCCAGGCAAGGCTGGCTCAGAAGGAAATGCTCCCAGAGCATGTCGTGCACACCACACAAGGCTCCTAGAACCTAGAACATTCATTTGTGGGTCTGTAGGCACGCCAGGACTCGTCGCCACTACTTGAGCCCGCGACGTCGGCGCCGCCACCGTCGGCGGCATCGACCGTACCGTCGATGGTCGGCGTTGTCGTCGCTGTCGGCGTGGGCACCAGCGGCGGCGGCGTCGGCGTCGGCGCCGCAGCCGTCGTCTGCGTCGAAGGCACCGCCGACGCCCACAGCGGAGTCTGAGGAGGGTCGGGCAGCGAGGGTCGCGGCCGGCGGCGACGTCGACGGTCTCGAGGGCTGCGGAGAGAGGGTCGATGGTTTGGTGCTGTTTCGGCCTCTGGGGGCCTCTAGGGACCTCGAGTCGGCGCGGCGGCGTCACTGGAGCCATCGTTGGCGTCGGCGTCGTCGTAGTGCCCACAATTGATTCCCAATTGGGGCAACCGATTAAGAAGCCCCATGAATGGGCCCATTGACGATTCAACGATGGCTCCGCTGATGGTCCCGCCGAAGACTCACAAATGGCCGACGGATGGCTCCGCTAATCACCCACCAGTGGCCCACTCATGATTCACCAACGACTTTGACCCACCGAAGGCCCACTGGTGATACAAGAGCTGCTCACTCTGTTTTTTCCACAAGTGAGTCGCAAACGACGAGGTCGCTGTTGCTGCCGCAAATTGTCGACCACAATCCGCCCAAAATTGGCCCATCAGGGCCGGCCTTTCTGGCCGCAGACCAGGTCGGCGTATGTGAGGTGCCTGCCTGTCCGGGTCGTCATCTCCGTCAGTCGCCGTCTCTGTCGTCCCCTATCCCTGCACCCTCCTCCTTGAGCATGTCAGCGAGTGAAAAATCTAGCAATGTCGTGATCGAGTCGAAGAGAAGCGCCTTCCCTTTGATCCCTCCCCCGTCGGGAGGGGGGGCGGGGTCCTGGGGGGGGTCAGATACGCATCCCTCTTGGTGGTCGTGGGGCCTCAAAAATAGCAAGACAGGCCAAGAGTGCCCCGTGAGGTCACCGAGACAGTCTAAAGAGGCCACCCAATCGCCAAACGATCGATCCAACACGCCCTCACGCCCTCCAGACTGCCAAGGATGCCTCTAAGACGCCCCAAGAGGCCTGCAAGAGCCCTCCCGAGAAGGCCCCAGATGGAAATATTCATAGATTTGCCAATTAGGAGCTTGAAGGATTTGGACGTTCTCGCCATTTCCGCTTCCCGCCGCTCCAAAATTGCCCAAGAGGCCCCCAAGATCACCCCAAGACAGCCCAAGAGGCCTCGAAGAAGGCTGCAGAACAGCCCAAGAGGACCTCAAGACAGCCTAAAACGCCACCAAAACTGCCCAAGATGCCCCCATGACTGCTCCAAGAGCGTGCCCAGACGGGGGACCCGAACGGACATTTCGAGCCCTCGGCCCCGAGAGGCTCCCAGGAGGCCCCAAGAGATTCCCAAGAGGCCCCAAGATGCCCACAAGAGGCCCCCAGGAAGCTGATGAGGCCTCAAGAGGCTCCCAAGAGGCCCCCAAGAAGCTCCCAAGAGGCCACGAAATTCCTCCCCAGAGGCCTCCGAGAGCCTTCCGAAGAGACCCCAAGAAGCATCCCTGAGGTCTCTGATCCACGTCAGCATCGTCATCGTCGCCGCCGCCACAACCGTCGTCGTCGTCGTCGTCGTCGTCGTCCCCCTTCAGTGTCGGCGGCACCAGCCGGAAGACCTTCGCAATCGGCCCATCAAGGCAGGTCTTTCTGGCCGCATTCACCCGAGGCGACGAAAAGCTGCGGGAAAGCCCAAGCACCTCCGCTACGATTTCCTCGAGGAAGGTCCCACCCTCTTCAGAGGGATGGGGCGAACGCATCCCGCCTAGATCGGCAACTCCGAAGGGTGTGGTTTGCAAAGGGTGAGGTTTGCAACCCGCGCCTGGGCGGGCGGGCGGGGACCTCCACAGAGTTCTCTGCCGCGCCCTGAGCGAGGGCTTATCAGAATCGTTGGCGCAACGTGGTGACCCCTTGAAGCCTCAACGGTGCCGACCGCAAACCACACACAGGCATACGTAACTACACGTCGGTCAGATGAAGCATGCACAAACATGGAGTAGGAGGGCGGATAGCGTAGATTGGGTCCAGGCCCTCCCAGAGAACAACAACACATAGAAAAGGCAGATCGGTTCTTGATGTAGGAAGGCGCTGGAAGTAGTTAGGGATCTGGGAGTCCAGAAAATACCTACTTTCGATGACCGACGTGTGCATCCAGTGTAGGCGCCGACCGCAAGGCAAGCAGTCGGGAACGAGGGGGACCAGCCAACCCCTGCCGACAGCGCCCCCGTGCCAGCAAGCGCAAGGAACACCCCTCGGCGCGCGCGGGCGACCGGAGCACATAGAAAGGGTGCATGCTGCAAGCGCCGAGCGTGCTGAGGCCAAGTGAAGGGGCCGCAGGACACACAAATAAATACACACAAATGAACAGATCCCCCATATTTTCGCATATTTTCTGAGTTTTTTGTCTTCCCGCCCACTTCCCATATTTTCCCATATTTTCTGGGGAATCGACGATTAATTGTGTCTGTGTGTTTTTCCCCCTCCTGACCAAGGCTCGGGTGTTGCTAGAAGTGCCCCTGGCCAAAGGTGCCCCCAGTCTTTCGCTCCATGTTGGAGACCCTGGGGCCGCCAGGGCCTCGTGAGGGGTGCTCTCGAGGCCGTGGGGGGCTCATTGGGAACCCTGGGGCCTCATTGGGAGTCCTGGGGGCCTCATTGGGAATCCTGGGGCCTCATTGGGAATCCTGGGGGCTTCGTTGGGAATCCTGGGGGCCTTATTGGGGTTCCTGGGGGCCTCGTTGGGAATCCTGGAGGCCTAGGTTCCTCTGGCAGCACCCGAGCGAGGGATGCGTGCTGCAAGCACCGAGCGTGCTGGAGCAACCCAAGACGGTCTCCGGCGGGAGAAAGGCGACAGCAGAACGAGGCCAGGGGGGCGGAAGGGGACATCGGCGGTGGACACACCGCCCTTTGGCAAAACTCCATGTAATGAAAACGGCCGAGGACCGAAACCGACGGACCTGGACCCGCAAAACTGACGGCCGCGACGCCCTCTCGCGAACCGAAAACGGCCAATTCACTGATCGACGTGTCAGGGTAGGAGGTCTATCAACCTCCGAAGACAGAGAGGGGAGAAGGGTCACGGGCATGGGCGTGAACAACGACCCGCCCGCGAGCAGCTGCTAGGAGTCTACAGCAACTGCTTCTCCACTCGGGGGCCGAGCGAGGCGTGATGCGATGCAGCGACCCATGGAAGCAGGAGGGGGTCGGGGGTTGCTAGAGGTGCCCCTGGCCCCGGGTGACCCCTGCTTTTCGCTCCATGTTCGAGGCCCTGGGGCCGCCAGGGCCTCGTGAGGGGTGCTCTGGAGACCGTGAGGGCCTCTTTGGAAATCCTGGGGGCACCTTGGGCCAGGGGCAAATCTAGCAACACCCGAGGGGGGTCCCGCCTGCTCTGACATTGCGCCGGGCTTCAACAGCTACGCGCAAATTACGACTGCGCAGGAGAACGGCGCGTCAGACAACTCCAAGGAAACATCGCTGCCCAGAACAATGGCAGCCGCAGCAAGGAAAGAGGGCACCGAATGCTGCGCGGGCGGCTCTGGCCAAATTCTGGCCCGGGGGGGACGAGGACGAACCCTTTCAAACACGACGTCGCCTCTGGCATGACGTCGTGAGCGAAAAACGAACACCTCTGGAACGAGAGCTCAACACCTCCGTAACGGGGACCGAACACTGGAGCGACGACGTGACCTCTGGGTCAGAGACCAAACACCTCTGGCCGACGACATCACCTCCAGAACGAGGACGTCACTTCTGGGCGACCACGTCACCTCCAGATAACCAGACTCGGACTTAACCTTATACCCTTATAGTAGTATGGCAAGGCCAAGACGATGACAAGATGAGGGAGGTGCCCTCAGCATCTCAAGGAATCCTGCATGTCGGCCCCGGGGTAATAGTGATACGGATCTGCTTCGAACTGGTAATGCGAAACGGGAAAGAAACCAGCAACCAGCAAACACCTCTGGAGCGACGACGACGACGAACACAGCGTCGTCATCGCCGTCGCCCCCGTCATCCACAACGCGGCTCGCTGGGGTTCCCTCCGCCTGCGGTGTGCGCCGCGGTGCCACACACCGTCGACACCGTCGTCGCCGTCGTCGTGGTCGTCGTGGCCGTGGTCGTGGTCGTGGTCGTGGTCGTGGTCGTGGTCGTGGTCGTGGTCGTGGCCGTGGCCGTGGTCGTGGTCGTGGTCGTCGTCGTCGTCGTCGTCGTCGTCGTTCGTCGCTCGTCGTCGTCATCGCGGTCGTGGTCGTGGCCGTGGTCTTGGTCGTGGTCGTGGTCGTCGTCGTCGTCGTCGCCGTCGTCGTCGTCGTCGTCGTCGTCGTCGTCGTCGTCGTCGCTCGTCGGTCGTCGGTCGTCGTCGTGGTCGTGGTCGTGGTCGTGGCCGTGGTCGTGGTCGTGGTTGTGGTCGTGGTTGTCGTCGTCGTCGTTCGTGGTCGTGGTCGTGGTCGTGGCCGTGGCCGTGGCCGTGGTCGTGGTCGTGGTCGTGGTCGTGGTCGTGGTCGTGGTCGTCCGAATCGTCGTCGTCGTCGTCGTCGTCCTCGTCGTCGTCGTCGTCGTGGTCGTGGTCGTTGCCGTGGTCGTGGTCGTGGTCGTGGTCGTCGTCGCTGGTCGTCGTCGTCGTCGCCGTCGTTGTCGTCGTCGGCGCCGTCGTCGTCGTCGTCGTCGTCGTCGTCAGCGAATGTCGGTGGCGGCCTCGGCGGCTCGGCCGCCAGGGCCGCCAGCGTGGCCTGGGGCGGTCTCGCTCGGGGACGGGCCGCCGCGCAGCGGGGGCTGGGAGGGAGGAGGGGGAGGAGGGGGAGGAGGAGGAGGAGGAGGAGGAGGAGGAGGAGGAGGAGGAGGAGGAGGAGGAGGAGGAGGGGGAAAAGGAGGAGGAAGAAAAAGAGGAGGAGGAGGAAGAGAGGGATCGATCGATCGAGCCTTGGGGACGATGGGTGTGCCGCCTACTTGTAAGGCTGCTGTCGCAAACTTTGTTTAAGCCGTCCTAGCTGTATTCTCTTCGCGCTGGGTGAGCTGGCGCCATCAAGCGCTCGGCCCGACCCGCGCCACATTCCCCGCGCATGGGGCGCAAGGCGAAGCAGCCCCCGCCCCTCGCGGACGCCTACCTGCTGCCCTGCTACCCCTTGTATATTCCCTGGGCTCGCCCTCCTTGACCCCGCCCCTTTCGCTTCGGTTCGGGCACGGGGGGTGGTCGGCGCATTGCAACATATCACGGAAAACCTCGCCCCTGAAGCTGGAAAAGCTCGGGGGTGCCCTGAGTTGGGGGAGGAGGTAATCTACCGCTCGCTACGAGCTCTCGAAAACGGGAGCTCGCCTCGAAAGTTCTCGGCACGGCGCGGGGGATCCTTTCTCCTTCAGGGCTAGGCGCAAGCCAACTTGATGTTCTTTATTTTCTTTACTATCTCCACTCACGCGTTGACTCGGCGGCCCAGCTCCCTCTCCAGCGCCCCCCGCGGCGCCGCGCCCGCTCGGCGCACTGACCCCCTCTTCTTCAGCTGGCTGGTGAGCGCCGTTGCGATGAAGTGGTCGCTCTGAAGAAACACCGCCTGGAACCTGCACTGCTCGTTGCCGTTGCCGCCCTTGCCTTCGCTGCGTCGCACTCTAAATGCGGGTGCCGATTATCCGAAGACCCCGTCGCCCCGCATAGCATCTCGTCGCGAGAGTACTGAGCCACGGTCGTCTGCGTCGCCCCTGCCTCGAGCGTCTTGCCCAGGCACGCGCAGACCTCCGCCCGCACCTTCGCGCGCGGGCCCCCCAGGCTGGCGGCGTCCACTTGCCCCCCGCGCTCGGCGCGCTGGCGCAGGCACTGCGCGTCGTCATTGCATGATCGCCCCGCCTCAAGCCCCGTAGTAGAATTCGCGCCGGTGCCGATCTCCCATGTCTGTAGCACGGCGGTGGCGAGCTCCGCTTGGCCCCTTGCCAATGTGCGCGTCAGTCTGGCAGTCGAGTCGATCGCCTGCTGGTTCTGCGCCGTCGGCGGCGCCGTAGCCCCCCGGCCGCGTTGGGCCCCTCGTTGGCGGCTGCGGTCTGGACGTCTGTCGGCTGCGCCTCCCACTCGAGCTGGTGGTCTGCCTCCTGGCCTCTCGTAGAATACAGACGCCACGTCCTGGCTGAATGGTCTTTCTAGGCAGGCGCGTTCGGAGATGTCGAAAACACGTCTGCTTATCATTGGCAGAATGACTACATATCGGACAACTAAGTTTGAGCGGGGCAGGCTGGGACTGGCTCTTTGCCTCGATTGCGCCCCCTGTTGATCATGCTTCTCGCTGAAAGTGTCCAAGCCTTTCCTTTGCTGGCCGCAATTGATGCACTCGTTGTTGCTTGTTAGCACTGGCACAAAATTATGCACATGATGCGTGCGTATGATATGACTGCGTAGTGCTTCTTGCTTGCAAACAATCGGCCGCGCTCCTCCTCGTCGTTTCTGAGTTCGCACTTCCATGGCTACATTCCCCGAATGCGAATTATTCTCAATGTCCGTCGTTAGGTTCATCTCGGACTGGGGGCATTGCTACAGCGAGCTTAGCTGCTCGAACTTCCCGTGGACCGAGCAGCGCGAGTTAATCCCTAACCTCTAGTGCGAAGAGCCCACCTATCGTGAAAACACTCGCCCTCCCCCAATACGCGCTGGAAACTCTCGGGCACCTCGCAAGAATGTGGCATGTCCTCCAGATGCCTCTGGGCACATGGGTTCGTGTCGCACTGAACCGCGTCGGCACTCTCGTCGTCGTCGTTCTCTTCGAAGTCGACCCGCCCGGCTAACGCAACGATCAGCTGTTCGCGGTTGTTGGGCAATCGAACTATATTTTTGACCAGCGGATTCGTCGCGCCAGCGCTTCCTCCGCTAGTGGAAACCTGCAAGCGGCGCAAGACTTCACGCGCGCGCATGCTCCTCGCGCTGCCGTTCGCTCGGCAGGTCGTCGCTCCGCCTCTCACTGCCCGTCGCACTGCCGCCCTCATCGCACTCTGCAATTGTTGGCGCTCGTTCGGCGCCGGCAAGAAACGCTCTATACATGATTATCCCGCGTTGTTCACTCGGCAAATTAACGCAGCCCGTTTGCATATGCATGGCATGTTCGCTTCGTTCCAGAAAGCCCCGCACTCGTGGTTGTTCTTCTCCGTGGCAGCGGCGCGCGCGTCGAGCCCCGCCCCGCACTTCTGCTGGTCCGGGGTCCCAAATATCTCGCCGTCATTCGAACTTTGCCTGGCATCTTGCACTCGTTTTTGCTCTCCAGGTCCCTGCGTGCTCGAGCCGACCCCAGCCCTTGGAATTTAACGAATTCCCCCTGCTGGCGCCGTTTCTTCACTATGCCGATCTCCTCGAGCCCGCGTTCAACATTGCATCCGCCCCGCGCGCATGTTCGACAATTTCCTTTGCGTCTGCCCGCGTTCCTCCCGAGGTGAGTTTGTGTAGGTCGTCCGCGTGCTTCCCCGGGCCGGGGTGGACTGGGTGCTGGAAGATCTCGCTCTTGCCGTGCAGTAGTCGATCAGGTGGAAAATATTGGTTGCAGTCCTGCACCCATCGTTGTATGCTCGGAATAAAACCAGCCGCGAAAGTCTTAGCCACGCATGGGTCGCCAATAAGTCCTCCGCAGTGTGGTTTGGCGCATGCCCCTTGGATTTGATCTAGCCACGGCGCGTTCAACGCGGCCCTCCTGCAACGCTGCTGCCCGATGTCCGACAGATTCTCTGGAACGATCTTGCCATTAGCCTCGTCCATGGTGCCCCGTGCGCAGCTGGCGAAGACGCTCGGCACGCCCCTCGCGGAAGGAACGAAGATCCCGCCTGCGCGTCGAGCCCTGTATCCCACCGCTGCCATTGCGAGCGTAGCATCCTCTCGTCTTCGTCCTCGTATGAAACCGTAGTCCTGGTCGTCGTGCGCCCTGGTGTCACGTCTGCGCATGCAGCCCGAGTAACGCACCTTGCCTATTGGGCCCATGATGTGGCATATACCTTTTACTGCTGGCCCTGGTCGATTACTGGCGCCATCGCACGGGGGCGGTCTTGCCAAGACGCATCGCTGCCAGCGAAACTTTGAGCAGTTCAGTGAATAGTGATGGTACCTAGTCTTCTCTAAGCGCTCCTAGACCATGGCGTTCTTGCGGACCACTTCCTGTTGGACGCAACAGTTGTCGCCATAGCTCTGCCGCCAGTGGCGCCGCTCTGCGTAGCTTCGCCTTCTTGGAGCTCTTGATCGTGTGCTCCAAGACCTGGTCTACCATCGCCCCCATGCCGTGCTCATAATAGTCCTGGTCCTCTGCCGCGTTTGGGATCTGCGCTAGCTCGTGCCCTCCATTCCGCCCTGTCCGCCTGGTAACTCCCAAAACTCTGTCCATTCCTGCCTGCTCGGGTTCACCGTCGCGCTGGCCCAGTTGTCTCGCTTCCGTGGCCCATATCCCCCGCCCGGGATGAATCTTGTCAGTCTCCCCACTCTTGCGAGGCCCCGCCGTTGCTGCGCTTGGTGCAGACCCTCGATTCTCTCGTCCGTCATGCGCTGGCACTCCTGCTGCCTCAACGTAGCGCAGTGCTTCGTGATGTTGCGCAGCTCCTGCTCCAGTGCCTGTAATTCGTGTTCGTATTCTTCGCGTCGCCGTTCTTCTGCGTCGTCGCATGGGTTGTCTGGGATCGGGTGGCCTCCTGTGTACACCGTGTTCTCCTCGTACTTGGTATCCGTGTTCACTCTGCGAACAACTTCTCCTCGCTGTCGCAATACATCGCGCAAGTCTCGTCGTCGCCGTAGACATGCCATTCGTCGGTCTCGGAATGCTGCATAGTCGGGTCTGTTGTGTGATGTTTATGGCTGCCCATAAGATGCCTGCGCTGTCTCTCTGATCACCCCGTTGGTGTCCTGAAATGGCTGGTCGATGCCCTTTCCATGCGCGTCGTAGTTCTCGACCGTAGTCTCTAGATCCCGAATAGCTCATTCCTCTTATGCCCCTTTCGTGCAGCTTGTGCCCATAGGTCTCTATCCCTGCGTACTGGCGCAACGCTATGTCGTACTCCCTGCCGCAATGGAATCCGCAATGCGACTTGTACTGGAATGGGGCCTCGATGATGCCTGCTCGGAAAATGTTGTATCCTCGTACACATTCGTAGTAGTGGTCCGTGTGTGCTCGCACTTCCTATCAAGTTCGGCGGTGCCATGGTGTAGTCGAGCAGCTCGCGTTTCTCGACGAGCAAGGTGGGGAGCCACGTTCCCGTTATGTTGGTCACCGTCAGCTCGTGGCGCTCCGCGTATTGTCTCGCCTTCTGTCCCGCCCCTCCTGGCCCCAGGGTTGGTGAAGCGGGTAGTTCGTTCTTGCGATTGATGCAATGCCGTCGTCGAGTTCCCTGCCGTGAGCAACATCCTATCCTTCGGTTTGTTCTTCGCGACTTCGTCCATCCACCTGAAGAACCTAGCGATGGTCGTGAAGTACTGCTTGCGGTCGGCCGTTGTCTTTGGCTGTGGCGGGCAACAGTATCAGTCGCAGCGCTAGCCCTCGCTCTCGGAGTTCACTTGGCGGTTCGTGTACCTCTTAAATATGTGCCCCCTTCAACTCGCCCTGGAGTGCAATCGTGATGCCAGTGCTGTAATTGGTCGGCTTTCCCGTCTGCCACCCCGCGCGTCAGTGACTGTCGTGTCGTTGATCCTTCGTTGCTCCGGGTGTGGTCGCGTCGTAGTCTTTGAGTGCCCCTCAAAACTATCAGGTCGAAAATGGCAGCTTCCTCGGAGTTCTCCTGCTGCCTGTCG